GGTTTCGGAAGGATTTCGAAATCGCGCGTCCAAAAACCATACAAAAACCCAAGGTTTCGCAACACGCATGTTCAACAAAAGCGTGCGCGCACGCTCTTGCGTCGTCGTCGTCGTCGTCGCCGTCCTCCCTCCTCCCGCGTCGTCGTCGTCGTCGTCGTCGTCGCCTACGTCGTCCTCTGTCTTTCCTCGTGTTCGTCGTCGTCGTCCTCTTTGGCGTCGTGGTCGTTTCCGTCGTCGTTGTCGCCGTGGTCGTCCTTCCTCCTCCTCCCTCGTCGTCGTCGTCGTCCTCCCTCCTCCCGCGTCGCGTCGCGTCGTCGTCGTCGTCGTCGTTGTCGTCGTCGTCGTCTTCCTTCCTCCCTCGTCGTTGTCGTCGTCGGCGTCGCCGTCCTTCCTCCTTCTTCGTCGTTCGCGTCGTCGCCGTCCTCCCTCCTCCCTCGTCGTCGTCGTCGTTGTCGCCGTCGTCTTCCCTCTTCCCTCGTCGTTGTCGTCGTCGGCGTCGCCGTCCTTCCTCCTTCGTCGTCGTTCGCGTCGTCGCCGTCCTCCCTCCTCCCTCGTCGTTGTCGTCGTTGTCGTCGTTGTCGCCGTCGTGGTCCTTCCTCTTCCCTCGTCGTCGCCTTCGTTGGCGTCGTCGTCGTCGTCGTCCTCGTCCTCGTCGGCGTCGGCGTCGTTGTCGTCGTCGAAGTCGTCGGAGACGTCGTCGGTGTCGTCCTAGTCGTTGTCGTCGGTGTCGTCGTAGTCGGTCTGAACAGGTTTTGCAAACCAAGTTGCGGGTGGGTGGGTGGGATGTTTGCACGAGCAGCGGAGAGGACAGCTTCAAGACAGTCAAAGTGGGTTCTCTTTTCTAAAAGAAGAATAGACTCTACCCCCCCGACTTATCAGCCCCCCTTTCGGGTATGTGAATCATGTCTGTTTCTAACCAGTCGTCCATCCTAAATATGAACTCATATCATCCCAGCCAGGCCGGGTTCCCCCCCCCTGAGGTTCCCTTGAAAAAAATACACTATGCGGTGTCATTTTTTGTTCTAACATCGCACTTTTTTTACGAATCCCTGGCAAAACATGGGACGAAGTGCGCACGCGCGCGTCGTCGCGCGCGCATGCCGAAATCCTTCAAAAACCTTCGGTGCCGGAAGGATTTCGCAATCGAGTTTCCAACACACATACAAAAACACATGGTTTCGCAACACTGATTTGCTGAAAAGGCTTCCGCGCGAGCTCTTGCGAAATCTTTAAAAAAAAAACCATGGGTTTTTCAAGATTTTCAAAAAATGCTACCAAACGGGCTTCGCGCGCGCATGTCGAAATCTGTCGAACGCCCTTGCGCGTGTGCCGTCGCGAGAATCCTCTGCAAAAATTGAGACGAAGTGCAGACGCGCGCGTCGTCGCGGGCGTATGCCGAAAACCTTCAAAACCCATAGGTTTCGGAAGGATTTCAACATCGTGCGCCCAGAAAGCCCACAAAAACCCAAGGCTTCGCAACACGCGTGTTCAACAAAAGCGTGCGCGCGCGCTCTTGCGTCGTCGTCGTCGTCGTCGTCGTCGTCGCCGTCCTCCCTCCTCCCGCGTTGCCGTCGTCGTCGTCGTCGTCGCCTACGTCGTCCTCTGTCTTTCCTCGTGTTCGTCGTCGTCGTCCTCTTTGGCGCCGTGGTCGTTTCCGTCGTCGTTGTCGCCGTGGTCGTCCTTCCTCCTCCTCCCTCGTCGTCGTCGTTGTCCGCCGTCGGCGTCTCGTCGTCGTCCCTCCTATTTCGTCGCCGTCGTCGTCGTCGTCGTCGTCGTCGTTTGTCGTCGTCGTCTTCCCTCCTCCCTCGTCGTTGTCGTCGTCGGCGTCGCCGTCCTTCCTCCTTCGTGGTCGTTCGCGTCGCCGCCGTCCCTCCTCTTCCCTCGTCGTTGTCGTCGTTGTCGTCGTTGTCGTCGTTGTCGCCGTCGTCGTCCTTCCTCCTCCCTCGTCGTCGCCTTCGTTGGCGTCGTCGTCGTCGTCCTCGTCGTCGTCGTCGTCGGCGTCGGTGTCGTCGTCGAAGTCGTCGGAGACGTCGTCGGTGTCGTCGTCGTCGTTGTCGTCGGTGTCGTTGTAGTCGGAATTGAGAGGTTTTGCAAACCAAGTTGCGGGTGGGTGGGTGGGATGTTTGCGCGAGCAATGGAGAGGACAGCTTCAAGACGGTCAAACATTAATTCTCCTTTCTAAAAGAAGAAGGAACTCGATCCCCCCCGGACTTATCGCTCCCCCCTGGGATAGTATAATTTCATTTATATTCTGCACACTCGTCCATCCCAAATATGAAATCATATCATCCCAGCCAGGCCGGGTTCCCCCCCCCTTAGGTTCCCTTGAAAAAACACTATGCGGAGACATCTTTTGTTCTAACATAACACTTTCTCACGAATCCCTTGCAAAACATGGGACGAAATGCGCACGCGCGCGTCGTCGCGCGCGCATGCCAGAATCCTTCGAAAACCTTCGGTGCCGGAAGGATTTCGTTCCAAAAAGCTAACAAAAAACACATGGTTTCGCAACACTGATTTGCTGAAAAGGCTTCCGCGCGAGCTCTTGCGAACTCTTAAGAAAACCATAGGTTTTTCAAGATTTTCAAAAAATGCTACCAAACGGGCTTCGCGCGCGCGCATGTCGAAATCTGTCAAACGCCCTTGCGCGTGTGCCGTCGCGAGAATCCTCTTCAAAAAATGGAACGAAGTGCAGACGCGCGCGTCGTCGCGGGCGTACGCCGAACACCTTCAAAACCCATCGGTTTCGGGAGGATTTCAACATCGTGCGTCAAAAAAATGCTCAAAAACCGCAGGATTCGCAACACGGATTTTCAACAAAAGCATGCGCGCGCGCTCTTGCGTCGTCGTCGTCGTCGTCGTCGCCGTCCTCCCTCCTCCCGCGTCGTCGTCGTCGTCGTCGCCTACGTCGTCCTCTGTCTTTTCTCGTGTTCGTCGTCGTCGTCCTCTTTGGCGTCGTGGTCGTTTCCGTCGTCGTTGTCGCCATGGTCGTCCTTCCTCCTCCTCCCACGTCGTCGTCGTCGTCCGTCGTCGGTGTCTTGTCGTCGTCCCTCCTATTTCGTCGCCATCGTCGTCGTCGTTGTCGTCGTCGCCGTCTTCCCTCCTCCCTCGTCGTTGTCGTCGTCGGCGTCGCCGTCCTTCCTCCTTTGTCGTCGTTCGCGTCGCCGCCGTCCTCCCTCCTCCCTCGTCTTTGTCGTCGTTGTCGTCGTTGTCGCCGTCGTCGTCCTTCCTCCTCCATCGTCGTCGCGTTCGTTGGCGTCGTCGTCGTCGGCTTCGTCGTCGTCGGCGTCGGCGTCGTTGTCGTCGTCGAAGTCGTCGGAGACGTCGTCGGTGTCGTCGTCGTCGTTGTCGTCGGTGTCGTCGTAGTCGGTCTTAGGAGGTTTTGCAAACCAAGTTGCGGGTGGGTGTGTGGGATGTTTGCGCGAGCAGTGGAGATGACGACTTCAAGTTCAGCAGAGTGGGTTGCACACCATAAATTGCACCAGTGTATTACAAATCGTATATCGCTGGAAGCATATTGTGTGGGGTCCACGCTGGCTAACAGACGTACGTATGTGTGTAATTATGTATGTGCATACCGTATACCCACACACATAAGCATATGTATGTACAAATGCATGCGTACGTACGCGTGCGCATGCGTGCTTATGTACACATGCACGTGCATGTCTAGCACCGAAACAAGGAAGGATGGAAGGAGGAAGAGCGATTACTATAGAGAGATACCACGCGAGAGGGAAAGAGAGAGAGAGAGTGCGTGTGAGATAAAGGAAGAGAGAGAGAGAGAGAGAGGGAGAGAAGGAGAGAGAGAGAGAGAGAGAGAAAGAGAGAGAGAGAGAGAGACAGAGAGAGAGAGAGATAGAGAGAGACCAAGGGAGATAGAGAGAGAGGGATAGAGCAAGAAAGGGAGACACATATATATAGAGAGAGAGAGAGAGAAAAAAAAGAGAGAGAGAGAGAGAGAGAGAAAGAGAGAGAGAGAGAGAGGAGGGAGAGACGGATGAGGATGACGAGAGGGATGATGGGGATGATGACGCGGGTACATATTAAGCGGGCGGGAGAATACCGAGGGGAAAGTGACGATGATGAGTCGGAGGCGGCACAGCACGAGAAAGATGATACTATATGAACAGGAAGATGACGGGGATGATGATCGGAGTGTAGGATGAGAAGGACGAGGGTGATGATTATGGTGATAGCCAATGCCCCTGGAGGACGAGGTTGGTGGTGATTGTGATGGTGCTGGTGATGGTGATGATGGTGATGATGATGACGACGATGATGCGCAATAGCAGTAGCAGTAGCGGTAGCAGCAGCAGCAGCAGTAACATTATGATGAGGATGACCAGAAGGAAGAGGGGGAGGAGGATGAGGAGGGTGACTGCCTTCTAAAGATGACAGCCCAAGCAACCCCGCACATTTTTTGGTGCCCTGACAAGCCGAACTCAGCATGCACGCAGCGGACTCCGGTGGCGCACACCAGCTACTCGGCTGCACGAGCACGGAAACCCTTGGCGGCGCCTCCCGCAGCGAGCTCCCTGGACATCCGGCTGTTCAATTTTTTTCGATACGTGGACCCCGGAGGTCCGGACCACTTCTCCCGGGACCGGCCTCCCGTCCTGAGCCGCTTCTCGACGCTCCCGAGGCCCGGCGAGGCCCCCCGGAGGCCGACAGCTGTCAAAACCCGCCTGCCCCAGTTCTTGTGGGAGCGTCGGATCTCAGGGGAGCCCTCGTGCCCGGCTGTAGCCGCTGCCTCCCCAGACCCCCGACGTCGTGATTTTTTTGACAACGTCGACCCCCAGAGGTCTGGACCCCTTCCCCAGGACCAGTTCTTCGTCCTGAGTCGTTTTTTGACGTTCCCGAGGCCCGGTGAGGGCCCCCGGAGGCCGAAAATAGCGACAAACCTCCCGTCGTGATTCTTTCACGACGCCAGGAGGTCTGGGTCAGGGGAGCCCTCGTGCCCGGCCCTAGCCGCTGCCTCTCCTCCCCCCCCTCCCTGCCGCGGGGCGGTAGGCGGCGATCCCCGGCTGCAGCGCCCTGCGGTAGAGGCGCGCCGCCTCGACGCGCCTGCCGGCATGGAACAGGGCATCCACGGAGGCACGGTACGGGCACAGGTCCTGCGGGGCAGCGACAGGGGGGGGACTGGCACAGGGGGGGGCAGCTCCTCCTCCTCCTCCTCCTCCTCCTCCTCCTCCTGGTTGCCCCCTGAGGGGCTGCGCTAAAGGGGGGGGGGCTTGCGTAGGGGGGGATGCATCGACCTGAAATCGGCGATGCATCGCCGATAGATCGGCGATAGGCCTCTGGCCGTGAATCCGCATCTGCCTGGGCAGGTTGGGGCTATCGGGCCCCTATCGGCAATCAATGGGCGATTGGGGGTCGATGCGTCCCCTCCTATGCCTATCCCCCCTCTATCGTTGCCCCTGAGGTCCGGCTGCAGCCGCACCTCTTGCATATCGCCGAGCAGCGACACCGCCGACTCCCACTGCTGACCCGCCGTCAGCGCGGTCACGGACGCGTTGAACGTGATGATGTTGGGAGCGACCCTCACTGGCATGACAGATGATGGGCCTGTTTTCCACCAGCACCACCACCATAAGTTGGATGGGGGAAGAAGGAGGAGGAGGCGGAGGAGGAGGAGGAGGAGGTGGAGGTGGAGGAGGAGGATCGTAGTGTAGCGCTGATGCCCTTGAGGGTAGGCATGACCCTGTCAGTCGGATGGGACACATGGGCTCTCCCATCCTGGAGCGGTGCTCGTGAGGGTTGGGGTGGCAACCCTTGTGGTCCCAGAGCCTGTGCGGGGACCGTTGAAGGCACCGAGTAATGGCGGACGGTACGTGTGGTCGACACGCCCGAGACAGCCACCTCTGTTCAACGCGTGCGGTTAGGCGGTGGGGGCTTCTCGACAAGTGACGTCGCCGCCTATCATGCAAGTGATGAAGCGCGAAGCGTGTCACATCGCCTGGTCGGAGGATGAGCTGGCATCCCCCAGAATTGCGTCAGACGCTGACTCCCTAGCCTTGTAGGGAGTTCCTGTGGAAGCTCACCGGGTGCTACAAGGTCAGGGAGGCTTGCTACCCCTAGCCAGTGCACTGGTGAGCTGTCCAACTAAGCATTGTAATGAGGATGCCTGGAGGTGGGGGGGGGGCACGATTTGTCCGCCCCACCGGGCGCAACAAACTAGAATCAGAGCGCGCGGCAGCGGGCGAGAGACAGAGACCGAGTCGCTTTTTGCTGCCACGAGGTCGAAGCAGCCGCAGGACACCGGTGAGCTGCCCAGCTAATGGGTGTTCTGCAGGTGCCCCAGAGGGGGCACGAATTGACCGCCCCGCGGGGCGCAGCCGCCGTGCACCGGTGAGCTGTCCAGCTAACCGGTGTCCTACGCGTGCCCTGGGGAAGCACGATTTGCTCGCCCCACGGGGCGCTGCCGCAGTGCACCGGTGAGCTGATCAGCTATCTGGTGTTCTGAAGGTGCCTGCGTGGGGGGCACGATTTGTCCGCCCCACCGACCGCAACAATCTAGGGCCATAACGTGCGGCAGCGGGTGATTGCGGATATGCCGGCACGCCCCAACCTTGTGATCGCGGCTGGGCCGTCACGCCCAGTCGAAGCAGAGTGAGGTATGAGATGGGTGCCTCGGCGGATTCAACGTTCTTCCGCCTCTAGGAGCAAGAGTAGGTTAGCTCCCGCTCAAGGGGGGGAAATTCGTTACGTTTCCCACCCCCCTCGAACGTGGAATGCCCGAAGCGCACGCGTGCTCAAACGGACACTCCTCTCGGCTGCTGTGTCAGGGCGGCCTACTTTAGTGGGAGCGGTGGTGGAAAGGGGGGGCTGGACCCAACTAGGGCCCAGCGGCGGGCCCCGGAACGGGTCCAGCCATCGTGGCCATGCAGATGGACCGGTACATCGAAATATCGACGGACCCGGAAGATATGAAATACAGTACCGCAGGAGAGTACGGCCTGACGAGGCCTAGGAGGACCCGCCGGGGGTTTTGGCCTGACGCGGCGTTGAAAATAGCCGCCGGGGATTTTGGCCTGACGTGCCCTGGCACAGGCATGGTATACCCAAGCCCAGCACCGCCGTGCCTAGGGGCTCAAAGCATGCGGACTGCGACGAGGAGGAGACCAGCGTACCCAGAGGTCAGCTCCCCGCGCCTAGCACGGCGCCTGAGGCAGCATGGGCACGCCTCCTGTCGAAGCTGTTGTAGCTGAGGCCGCCGACGCTGCAGCACATGATGTGCAGCGGATAGCCGTCGAATTTATATCATTCTTATTCAGAGGATGCTGAGTGCAGGGGGGAGCGAGAACGCAAGATGGGACCGAGGCGAGACGCAGAGAACAGAAAAGGAAAATGGGCAACATGAGCCTTTTCCGACGGCACTCACACACATGGGGCAATCTGAGGGTGCCCCCAACTCCTGTACCAGGACTCGTACCAATAGAAGAAGAAAGAGTAGCACTGCATGACCATGACGACGAAATTCTCGTCAGAGGCGAGATCGAAGAGGAGGGTCCCGCCATCAGCGACGGACAGGGCGCAAACGAAGAGGCAGCAGCCGTCGAACACGGCCAGGTCGGGGAAAACGAGCACGGGGTAGTAGCGAAGAGAGAGGCGATCCGTGTCCAAAACGGAGAAGCTCGTGACGACGGCGTAACTCTCCGAGACGGCGCAACTCTCGAAGACGGCGTGCAGCTCTCGAAGACGGCGCAACTCTCGTTGACGGAGACACTCTCGAAGACGGCGCAACTCTCGAAGACGGCGCAACTCACCATGACGGGGCAACACTCGACGTCGGTGCAATTCACGAAGAAGGCGCAATTCTCGATGTCTGAGCCCTTATTTCCATCAGAGGCGGTCGACCTCCGCACAAGAGACGAGATCTCGCAACTTACTCCAGAGCCCTTATTTAGAACAGAGGCGGTCGACCTCCGAACTCGAGACACAAGCTCGCAACTTACTCCATAGCCCTTATTTAAAACAGAGGCGGTCGACCTCCGAACTCGAGACGCAAGCTCACAACTTCCTCCAGAGCCGTTATTTCCATCAGAGGCGGTCGACCTCCGCGTTCTAACGCCGGTGGCCGCAGGGCTCGAGGAGCACCCTGCGACCGAGACCTGGAGGAGGAAAGAGGCAGGGTCAACGTCACCATCACCATCGGCGGCATCGCCATCATCGGGATCCACTGCTGAGACGAGTGAGGCAAAGTAGTGCACCGACCCGTTGGCAGCAACGATGGGCAGGGACTCGTCTCCATTGCTGTCCACAAGGAAGTCACGAATACGGTGTGGTGCAGCGGGTCCCAAGTATTGCCTCATCTCTCTGCGAATCTCACGAAGGGCTTGGAAATGTCGATCCACCATCTCTTCCCAGAGCCCGTGCCGCGTCAAGGAGTTACGCGGGTCATTCAGCCACCGAAAGTAATCTACAGTATTGAGGCGCCCCTCGGTAGAGGTGTCCCAGGCAACCATGCAGATATGACGAGCGAGTTCGTCGAGAGCACCACTCCAACCAGACGAATCCACCCATTCCATCGCCTCAAATTTGGCACGTACGTATGGGATGCACCACATCAACCAGTCGGCACGGCCGCTCTCGGAGTCATCCAAGCGCAAGATCCAGCGTGTAGCCCTTGGTGCAATACGTTCGCCGAAGACAACAGGTGTTGCATGCTCCACAGAGGAAGAATGTGGATGGCCCGCCAGACACAGGATGTGAGTACTCGGTGACGGCGTCGACTTCGACGAGGTGGCATCGCCAAGACACCGCAACTGTTCAGGGAGAGCAGGGTCCTCACGAACAGGAAGCCCACCAGCACGAAGGCGTTCGACACGCTTGATGGTCGCACGATATTCACGTTCAAGCCGAGTAACATCCGCCTCACATGCAGCTGGGACAGACATCGACGCTGCATGGACCGCGGAGAGCACCACCGTGGCGGCAAGCGGCCATGGGAACATGGATGCCGCAGGTCGCGGCGAGGTGGCAGCGGAAGCGGACGCCCGCCCGTTGACGCCCTGCCTTGAGGGCAGGGCCTCGCACTGAGCCAAAGCGCCAGCAGGCATGGACACAGGAGACACTGGATGGGGAACAGGTTGGCCAGCTTCATCAGCGCTATGTAACACATCGTCGCCACACGGGGTGGGAGGGACCAGGCCAGGGATGGGGGCCGCAGCATCTGAACTCAAACAGGAGGTGGACGATGAGGTGAGCACATCCCACTGAGGCTGCCTTCGGCGGATCGTCTGGACAGCGGGAGGAGGTTCCCACCGTTTCAACTTGGCTGAAGGCCTGGCCAGACGAGAGGTGCGGACGGCGGCCTCAACATAACCACGCAACTGACGGGGAGTCGACACTAGAGCACCTTGCCGAGCATAGTTGAAGACCTGGTAATAGACATAGAGAGCTTCGAAGTGGTCAGGGTGGGGGTGGGTAAGGCCAAGACGCTGAGCCAGGGGGCGAGGCAGGGCACGCTGTAGACCTTTGCAGACTGCCAGGTACAATTTAGGGCAGCGTAGATAATGTTGCAGCCGATCAGGGCCAGGGCATCCGAAACGACAGCGAAGTTTGCCCCTCGGGTGGATAATCCTATGTGATGTCAGCCATCCATGCCCCCAAGTCCGTAAGGCTGCCATCGCCCAGCTTTGCGGAACCAATGCCAAAAGCTCCTGAATAGCGGGCCAGTGGATCAGGTTGAGGAAGGGGAGGTAAGCTGTGAATAACGGGGTTAAGTGGCGAATCAGCATGGCATGTAGAGGTTTGTGCGTACACATGTTCTGACCCAACGAGCGGGCAGCAGCACGTTGCAGCTTGGGCCTTCGTGTCGTAACCTGAGCTTCCTCACGCATGGCAGAGCGAGCGGCGACGAGTAGGGGCTCTTGAGACCTCACGTGGACCAGCTCAAGGTGTTCGACGAACGCAGGGGATTTCCAGAAAGATGGATAAACACGGGAGCGATCCACAGCAGCCAAGGGGATATCATCAAACTTCCCTTCCACAACCTCTCTGTGCCAAAGAGAAGCCGTTTGTCGCAGTAGCCGTAAGTATTCCTCAAAGCCCTGGAAGGTGTGAAAAGCAGCACGTAGGTGAGCTGCAGTAGCATGGGCAGCCCACGATGGAATCTGAGGACCACCCCAGGCCGGGAGCTCCAGGATCGATTCGTTCGAAAAGAGGCCAAGGGGAGCACGGAGAACTTGGGCGATGGCACCACGCTCAATGGGAAGGAACCATTCGGGCATAGGGAGGAATTGGGCTACATACGCCAAACAGGGGTAGACCCGCGTGCGGTACAAGATACAATTCGTACAGACTGACGCAACCCCACGTCCCAACATCCGAGAGCGAGATCGTGCCTTCATAAGCGGGCCCCTCCAGTTCATGTCGACCGTCGCATCAGGGCCCAAGATCATCCCAAGATAAAGCAACCACCCCTCAACAGCAAAGCCTGACCAGTCACTCGCGATAGAGGCCAGCTGGGTCTGGGTCATGGTTTTCAGGGTTTCTGTCATGCGGCCGACGAGAGGGACCAGGGTGCACTTGCTGATCT